GATTGAGATAACATTGCTGAGTAGATAATTTGCCTCTCCACTTATTAAACAGTAATTGCAATACTGGATCGTGTCCTCTCCTTCCGCTCTGCTCTCTTCAACCTTCCATTGGCCTAAATTAGCTTCACCTTCCCATTGAATTGGGTATATTGATCATAAATATGGCTAGAGGGCGGGCGTTTGGACTAGTTATTGATATAAGTGGACAGCGATTGATCTGATCGACAGACAGGTCTGATGCCGTCTGAAGTCCTTAGAGAGCAGATCTGAGGTCATATGATAACATCTAAAAATTGAGCCTGTTTTCACTTGAGCAGGTTTTCACACTGACTCAGTGTGTTGTGTGACACAGGTTAAATTAAAGAACTTCACATATCAAGACTTGTTAGTCATGACCTTACTGAACCTTAAGTTGGATTTCACCTATAAAATGAGAGGAATGGAGAGTTGGAAGATTTCAATTTACAGTCGTTTTTTCTTGAATCAAGTTTTTGATCTCAACTTTAAAGCAAACTCATTTGTTTAGAAATGCCAACTTCATTCATGAAAATGAATTGCACTGCAAACAACTGACATTACCTTGTCATGCAGAATATTAGTTCTTTTTTGTACAATTTAGTTTTAAATGAATAGTGTAACGTTTTGGGGGAATGTGGTTATTTGCATTCATATTGGGAGTTAGATGAGAGGGTTGATACAAATCTTATGCCTGTACAGTAAATGTGAAGCTACGGCCAAAGGTTGGTTTGCTTAGAATAATAATAATATAGACTGGTTGTTTTCAAATGTCTGGTTGTTTTCAAATGTCACTACACCAGACTCAGCTCCTCTAAAGCTTAATAATTAACATGTTAAATAACAAGTCTTTTTACACTTTAATGTTTGTATTACAGATTATGAGTGTATTTTAGATGTGCTGGTCGACAGCTAAACCAGATTGGCTGCTTCCTAGTTCTGTTTACTTTGTGATATGTAGTTTTATATCTAAGAACAGACATACTGGTGCTAACTAGGCTATCACATATATAACTCTTGCCAGAAAGAAAATAGATGTTAATTTCGATAATATCAAAGACATTATACACAGGCAGCATTCCCAGTTCTCTGCAGTGAACGATATAGATAATGCGTGTTATATATCTGGACTTGCCCTCACACCCTGTATCCTCCATCATTCAACCCTGTGTTCTTTTAACAGGATAATTTCTGCTCTGAGGGAGTAATCCTTAATTCCTGGCAATTCTGGTTTAAAATCCACAAGATTACCAGGTAGACATGGATCACATCGGAAATTCCACAATGATTTAAGCCCTGGATACAATACAAGTCTGATCCAACCTCTGAACGCATGAAAATGAAAAGATATACATACAGCACGCTACAGCTGTTTGAATGACAGATGTTGCTGGACAAAATGGGTCGTTTAGCGAATAAAACGGGAATTATTCAGATAAAATGTGGATTAATTGTCAGGCATTTTTAAGCTAGGCTCTATAGAAAAACATATGGATGATGTTGTGTTTTAATCAACATCCATACAACATGGTTGTCCATCCGCTTATTTCTGGCTTAATAATGAGAGTGTGCCTGATAAGCTTGTCTATGTAGAAAAGAGCACTAATCCACCATCGAGTTGTTGGTGCTCTTTTCATGAAGCATGGACGATCAGACAGTTCACATGTTTAAAGATGGTTTGGGGTGAAATAACAATATTGTTATGCACCAAATTATAAAATTTGCAAATGAAGAAGCTGTCAAAACTTTTCTAAACTCACACAGAAAGATCTTGGATTCTCAGAGCAATCCAGGTTTAGCAGCTGGTGCCTCTATTTTATATGTAGGCCCTTTCACTTCTTTAAAAATGCTCTGTCAGGGTGTTTTATTAGCATCGTCAGTGCATTTTAATGAAAACATTTTTTCCGACATGAACCGTGACACTTTGGCCGCCCACATTTCTGTGTCACTGTATGTGTCACTCTTCGGCCTTATTCGCAGGATGTCAGAGACCTCTGCGATGTCTGGTACACCGAGGGCTGGTGGAGATCATTACACATCATTACACCTGATGGGATGTGTTGACAGTGCCTACTCGAAAGTGACAAATAGCGAGACAAGCCGCAAACAAGACAAACTCCTTTTCTCCCTCTGCTTTTCTTGTTTCTCTCTATTCTAAGCTCATAAACCACAATTTTCTATTCCCAGTCCCTCAACAATGTAATAAGTGACATGCCGGAGCCACAAGGTTACACACGTCTGTAATGTAAAATACATGTCATCATGTCGACTGATGTGCGGGTGTGAACTTGAGTTAATTGCTGCGATAACGTGAACACAGCTCAGTTTGACTGTGCCTATCGCTGAGGAGAATACTGGAGCACAAAGGGTGATGTACTGTAGGGAAGTTACATTAAGGGAAATGTAAAGACTGTCTGTCCCCTCCAACCCTTATGCCTGTCTTCTGCCTTGTCAAATCTGATAATCCTGACACATGCTAGGCAGCCTAATAACATCCCGCAACTCATATGGACAGAGGAAATGAGACATTGTGAGACACACAGATCACTAATCCTCTGCAAGACAGCAGGATGGAGTGATTGTGCAGCGCTGGAAGACACCGCCAAATGCTGTCAACACCATTTTGCGGTGAGCGTTTGGACTGGATGAGGGAAAAGGAAGTGGCAGAATGTACCGAGGTGATGAAGACTGACTGGAAGGAGAGAAAAATTCTGAGATGTCTCAATGTTTGAGTTAATGACAGAGAGGTGAATAGAGAGAATGGACGAGGGGAGATGCTGACGGACAGAAAAAGGGAGAGGAGGGAAGGAGGCGTGTGTGAGACAAAGAGTGTCAGGGAAGGAGCGAGGAGAGAGGAGGAAATGCAGACGGGCATGTTTCTATGGGCGCACAGGAAAGATTTGGGGGTGAGGGAATCTTGCATCATCGCGGCGGGCCAATGAAAAGGCTTGGTTAAAATGTTCAAAGGGAGTGTCCTAGCAACAGCGGAGTAAATACCATAGCAGCCACCATTCCATCTCAGACCGGAAAAAACCCTTTACACACACACACACACACACACATTGATTAACACAATCATGAACTAGAGCACAAACATGTTAGCTGTTTCAGTGCACCTTGTTGTTTATTCATACATGTAAATGGGTTATAATCTACATATTTTGATTCATGACCATACAGCTGTATAGAAGCATCTTGACATCCACATATCTCTCAACGTGTGTAAGTGTATTTGAAATGACAGACATATATATTATAATAAGAATTTTAAAAAACGATCTCCAAAATTATCAAATTATAATGCAGGTTT